TTACAATTGTTCAAAATGTGTATACATTTTTTTGGGACACCCTGTATATATACTATACAGTGAGAAATAACTCCACGGTGACTGTTCAGCATGTGTATACGCTGAGCGGAAGTGGAAAGATTTTGAGGGCAAAAAAACGTCGCTCATGGGAAGAAAATATACGCGAGATTGGACCATCCTGTTAATGAGAGTGTGCGGACGTTTGCAACGTTTCTCATCATGAGAAAAAAACGGCTGCGAATTTTATCCCTACAAGGGACAATAACAGTATATTTAGGAAATCAAGTAATGTCATTAGAACCGCCTCAAATTCCAGGAGGGGTCTTTTCAAAGTCCAAAACTAGCGTGTTTGGGAAGGAAACAGATGATAATTACTTTATTTCTTCCGAAGTTAAATGGTTACGTAGTTTGGAGTGGTATTGCATGGAAGATAAGGGCTATAGTTAAGGCGAAGCAGAAAACAGAGACCGGCTTCGAGTCCTCTAACTCACAAAAATTTAATTTTCGGTAACTGACATTTCTCTATACAAGAAATACTGAGTCCAGAAAGAGAAGGTCGACTTCGAGCAGAAACTCTCGGGACATTTTTAATCTTACTGTGTTCGCAAACGCTTATCAGACCGAAGAGTGAACAGCAATATTCTAGGATGGGAAGAACATACATGCGCTACAGTTTTAGATTTATTCGCCCAAAAAGAAATCATGCGATATAAAACCGTATACCTGTGCAAATTTTTTCAGAAATTTGATCTACTTGAGGTGAGTTTCCGAACAGGAACCTGACCATGATAGGTGGTCGGAATAAAGCAGACTTAACGAGTAGAAGCGAATATGCGTGCCTAAGGTTCTTGTTGTAAAGAAGAGGAATACGCGATCTCTGGAACGAGAGAGATTGCGTCTTCCTCTTCTTTACAAAGCAGACTTCATCCTAAATCTACTGAATGTTGTACTAGGCCCACTATTTTGCCATGATTTCTGATGGGCTGGCTGATGAAAGGATAAGTGGTCTTTCGTTGCATAATTTTTGTTTTTCATCCTCCTCCACAGACATAGATCTAATTTTCTTTTATTGATTTGCACAGATTCCACTAGACATAATATTGGTTTTAGCAACTACAGTATGGATGCAATGAGACGAACAATCGTTAGTTTTTCCCGCGGGTCGAAGAACCAGTATGATTGGCAATCAGAAAACCGACTCAATTTCCATTAAGTACAAAATTCAATACCGAATTAGCGTCACCATGCATTCAGGTTCCTAGATTCCTTCCCAATGGTTCCGCATGCCCCCAACTGTCCACAGCAAAGCAAACAGTAAGTGAGTTGATAAATTTATAGGTCATAGAGAGCATGCTATTAACCTTATATATTTTTGTGTTTCTGTAAAGGTATTTAATAGTATGCATTCTCATTGACTTTTGCTCCCATAGTCTAACGTACTACTTACCAAACTTTTCTTCCTTTTCAGGAAACGCCGGTGGCCAACGGAGGTGGAAGCTGTATAAATTCCCCTGATTGATGACTGCGTGGGTGTACATTTCATTCAATTTTTTGCTTGCAAATGTGCAATAAGCAGAGTTTTCCTACATTGCTGCACATTTTTATTTCTCTTGTGATACAGAAGTTTCTGTGTTGGGTATTCGTAATTGGTATTTCGACCGTCGATCGCGAAGATGTCCTCCACGAGCTTCAGCAAGCTTAGGGCAAACGCGATGACTCACGCTTGATCACGGTGGAAGTAAACTCGCGCAGAATCTACCTCACTCCCTCCCCACTCCCGCACCTGTACCCAGTTTCGAGACAAAAGTCGAGAAGACCAGAGATGGGGTGAGGGCACAGGTGGCTGGCGCGGCCATCCCTGCAATCCACATCACAGCCAATATCTGGCTAGGTTACCGCTTGCGTGGGAGTGCCATAAAGGATACGTTAAGAAGGAGCCATTGCAATATGATTCGCGGTCCACCAGTCAGCCACTCCACACAACAACACACACTAGACTGAATGGGCGGTCCGAGTTATCAGGTGGCAACCCTCCAAGTCACGGCTTTCAGCGCAACGTGATAGCTTCAAGAGCGTCAGATTGTTTATGGTGAGGAAAGAAATGGGTTGAATGCCGACTTCACTTTCTTCCACCGCCAAAATCAAGCCACCGCCTAGCTGGTCGATTGCCTGATGTGGGATCAGCGCAGTAGCTGGCAGGCCGACAAACCCCTCTGCGCGCTTTACAGCACGAAATAGCCCCTTGACACAAACATACAAAAGGATTGACACAACCAGAGGAATAGGAGGAGCCTTCGCCTCCTGACTTCCAGTTCACGCACCAGTCACTTCGAACATAGTTTATACTAGGTTGATGGTGTGTCCAGTAAATACGTCAACTGGTAGTGCTAAAAAGCAAACAAGCCGGAGGGGAGCGTTGTAAATCAGGTTGTGCAGAAGAAAAAGAGAGAAAACAAGAACGCAGCAGAGGAGCTTGTGTTGGTGCCAAAAAGCTAAGTTGAAAGTGCGACTGTTGCAATTATGACTGGCGGAGAGAGAACAGCCTCCAAGTTACCTGGGGTGTCACTTACCTTGAGGTCCCCTGCGTTCTTGAAGATGGGTCCTTATCTTGGAGATGCTCGGTCCAACTGTGCATCGGCTAAGTCAGCGGAAGCGTATGTAGCTGCTCGTCGACATGCGTAGGTGGCTCCTAGTACGTGTATTGACAGCACACTTTATGTGATGTGGATTTATGTTGACGGGACTGTGAGTTATGAGGGTGCTAATGAGAAACTGCATAATGATATGGTGTGGCCAACATCATTTTACCACAGGCTTTTACGAATGTGCATGTGGCCTAATAGACCCGTGCGATAGGAGTATGTGCGTGGGCAGTACAGACAGCGAAAGCGAGTGCCGCGACTGTAGATGGGGCGATAGATGGGCAAGTGACCGACCAGGTCGATGCATAAGGTGAATGGGCAGATTGGGTTCGAGCCCCCGGTGCTGGTGTAGGGGTCAGATGTGGTTATTAAAGTCTTGGCAGGAAGTGATGCGTTGGAGGGGATGGCAAAAGTTAGGAGTGTGGTGTTGGTGGTGGTTGAGGTTGAAGACAGTAAGGATTAGCAGTTGGTGGGTGTCGGCAGCGAGGCATCGGGTGGTTGAACTTCCGTGGTGAAGGTGGTCTTCGACGAAGTACTGGACATAGGAGAGACTGTTGAGGTTTTTGACGCCGTACGAGCAGATGTCGTCGGAGGGAGAGTGCACGGCGTACGGAGATAACCGACCAAGCTGATACGTGCACGGAACGTGTGTTGACATCGGGGACAGGTTAGAAGGGCCTGGCTGTTGACAGCGTTCGCCCGTATGCTTTGGCACTTGTGGCTCGTCATTTTCGCCTTGGCGGTGGCGATTCCACTGGTTTCGTAGATAGCTGCACCAGTTTTTTCTGTTCTTCATCTGTCCTGCGCGAGT